ATTAGCTTTTTATTTCTCATGGGAATTCACATCCATTGCTAAATTAAGACTATTTAGGTAGTGACACTGTGAGGATGCTTTGCTCTTTGCTGGGACCCCCAAAGTACACCCCACCAAGCTTGCTGTGTCAACACTCATATTTAGGGTCTCAGGATCCAGTACTATCTGGTTTATTTTTCTAAAGCACAGGAATTGTTATTCAGTATCATGTTAGTAGAAGCTCCCAGTGGGTAAATCTTGCCCCAGAATAAAGTCACTGGTATTTTTTTGTAGAAATGTCAATAGTCAAGTAAACAAATTTATTAAATCCAACAGCAGGTAACCTTCCAAATTAAAAAAAAAACCAAAAACATTAAAAGAAAAAATCATGTAGACAAAGACAAAAATGTGTGTAACAAGTTAATAAAAATATTCAAAGGGCCATTTGGAGAGTGCAACAGTGCAGAGAATACAAACAAAAGTATTAACTTTTGTCAAGTTCGTACAACCTCAAGAAACAAGACACACTGGTCACAAACCAAGAGGGATCCACAAAGGTGGAGGGTCACATGAGCAGTGAACTCATCACCTAAGTGGCTTAAGGCAGGGTATCTGTGGGACCAGTTCATCCAAGCCCCATTTGCCTATTGCTTCACATTCCCCCTCTGAAACCTAGAATCATATTCATTAGTGCAACAGGTAAGAGCAATTAATCACAGACTGGGAGCTGGGGACCAGGGTCAGAGGGAAGACATTCTCCCAGAGCAAATGTATGTGTTTTGGGGGGAAAGAACCGCAACAGCTGCTGAATGGCTTCCTTTGGCAATATCCAGGATCTGTGTTGAAAGCAGCAGGGAAAGGTAGGTGGTGAAAGTCAGTATCTATGAGAGCAGGCTGGGTTTCCAAGAAGAATAGGGAATAATGCTCCAGCACCTGAATCAGAAGCAGGACCCAATGGTTACTCAAAGCTATTCGAATCATCTTAGCTTCTGCAACCAGTGCTCAAGCATCTATTTATTTTGTATTTTAAAAGGGGGAAAAAATCCTGCTGATCCTTACCAACATATGGTCCCAGTTCACATTAAACTGGACATGTGCTATAATTACAGCTTACCATGGAAATATAAACTCTGAAGGGGGTAGATGGGAATCCCCTTTGTATAACTCAGAAAACACACCGTGGAGTAAGAGGGGGATCAATGTTGCATGTCCTAAAATGAGTCCCAATTAACATAATTCAGTAACTTAATAGTCCTTTCAGCCTTTTAAACAAGATCCTGCTAGAATCCTCCAGGAAGACCTTTGTCATTCACCACAATGTTCAGGTCCCCCAAGGAAGACCTTTGTCAGTTACCGAGATGTTCAAGTCATAACTAACCAAACAAAAGAGACACAAGAAAAATAATAAAGCAAGCAACTAAAAACAAAAACAACATCTAGCAGCAGCTTCCTTCTAGGTCTTATAATTGCATAACTGGGTCTACCTTTTGGGCTTCACTACACTGGGCCTCATTTGAAATATGGCAAACCAAACAATCCTAAATATAGATCTGTTTTGGTTTGTAAACTTTTAGCCAAGTCCTTATCCTAGTAACTTCCTACCTCTGTTTATAGAGTTTGGCATAGTATATAAGGTATGAGGCCATCAAGTGAACTATGGGGTCCCACACCCTGCAGCCTTCAGCACTGAGGACTAAATTTTGGCACCAGCCCCTGGGAAATCACTACCGCTTCAAAGACTGACTAATACTGTGTGGCTTAGTCCTTTCTTACTTTCCAAGAATGCTGGTTTGTGCCTTCTTAGGGAAGTTTAATATTGAGAACAATGCCTTGTACATGCTGAGCCTGGAGGTTTTGTTAAAATTTAGATCTTCAACCCAGCTCGATATTTTTCTTCCCTTATCAGAGGGGTAGATATGGGTTCCTGCACCCAACTCACACATGTAGGTAGCACCTCAGCTGCTGAGGCAACCACTCAACTGTAGCATAACAACACTCATTAGAGGAGGCAGGGTTAAGAATGATAAATTGAAATTTGGCAAGGATGGGAGAAAGAACAATCCAGTGAAGCAACACTTCATCTCATACCAGCTTTCTAATAAGTTGCTCAAGGAACAGCAGATCACAGACAAAGCCATTTGCCAAAATTAAGTGATTTCCCAACACGTATATTGTTGTTACCCTCAGATGTTGCTGTTTTTCAAAATGGCATCCACATCCTGCCCCTCTCTACATCGCCTTGGTGTGGCATTGCTAAGTGAGAAGTGCATTGGCTTACCACGCACTTGGCCTCTTCCACAGAATTACTGCTCACCCATACCCATTAAATGGCAATCCTATTTCTAGGTTGAGAGGAACAGGGATTTTCATTCCCCAGAAGTATAAATTTAAATTCAAACCCTACACACACCTCATCTTGAATCACTTTGCAGAAAAACTGCTTTTCCTGTGGTCATGAAAGAGTCAAGCACTGGCCTCGAGCTACTGCAGAAGTTTGAAATCTTTGCTGAACCTCAGGGACTCAAACCTAGAAGGAACTTGTAAATCCTTCCCTGACTGCTCCCTTTTCTGGCTTCTCATCTGCATTTCTGTGACAAATGGATCATTAAAAATATAACCAAAAATAACTTTTTAAAAATTGCTCTTTTGTGGGGGGTAGGGAAGCTGAATAGTTAATTTAAAAACAAAACAAAATCCACCCACTCTAGTACACCTAATGCATGGACTGTCTTCTTGTAGGTCAGGGAAGAAATCTAGTTTCTCCGGAGTCTTCAGGGTCCCTCCTTTGTGCGCTTCTCTCCCATACACCCTTCTAATCTAGGTTAGAAAGAGCCTTATATCTGGCTAGAAGCAGACTGCCTTTACCTCATTCAGCCTGTACCCAATCCAGAACCGAGAAAAATGGGCTGCAAACTAGTTAGATGAAAAGGTGGTCCTTTTAAAATCTCAGTCTGGGTACCACAACTACATTGAGCCCACAGAAACTGCTTTGTAAACTTTTAGCCAAGTCCTTATCCTAGATTCATATAAGGACCTTATTTAGCTAGAACAAAACCAGACATCTGGCCTCAGACCCCCTTCAGCTTTCCAGCAGTATTGTTAACCTACTGTGGATGACTTTTAGTTTCCCATCTGCCCCTCTGAAAGGAGGAACTGTCAGGTTTGACGTTTTAAGGAATCAAATTCTAAGTATGTTCCCTATGTCAGTATCAATTTTAGAAAAACATAAACTGCTGAAACTCCTTAAATAATCATCCTTAAAGATGAGAGCCCAGAGCTGTAAGGCTACTAATAAAGGAACTCAAAACATGCAATTCCTGCCCAGGCTGAGAAATATATACCTGGGGTGAGGGGGAAGAGGGGTATAGTTAGGAGTGTTAAAACTCCAAATGTTTAACAGACAAAGTCTCATTACCTCAAGAGTATAAATATTTTTATGCATTTTTATTTAAAAGGTTCCCTTTTTAATCGGTTCCAAAGTGTTGGAAGTTGAACTATACAAGTTCCTGCCACCCACCTTTTCAGTACAGTTTTTTGAGGACATATTTTTTTCTAATGAAAAAAATAACGAGACCCCCTCTACAAAACCAGGTAGGACCAGAGTCAGCTCCTCAGGCCCCTGTGGCAGTCTGGCCAAAGCTGCCCTCATGGAGCATGTGCATGGAGGAATCTGGGGACTGGGCCCTCCCTCTTGTGAGGAAATGGCTGAGCACACTCATGTTCTCTATGAAAAGGGTCCAAATTTCAATCCAAAAGCCTCCATTATGACGTTCCCTGGCACTCTTCTTATACTTTATATATTGAAGGCAGCTCTCTCTTTTATGGCCAGTTTTAGCAGGCAAAAAAACAAAGGAATATAGATACATATATGTGTATATATATATATTTTATATAGGTAAAATATATACATATTTTATATATGTATATATACATATTTGGGGATAGGGAAAGGAGGGTCATGTAAACCTAAACAGTCATCACATTACCCCAAATGAGCCTGACATTAACAAAAAGATAATAAATAACTCCTGGGGGTCAAGTGACAACATGGGTGCAGCAAGAAGGGAAAGGGCACACGTCTAACTATTAAATACACTTTGATATTTGTTTGGCAGAGTTCAGGCCAACCCTAGGCTTCTGCACTTGCCAGACAAGTAAGCTGATGATACTCAAAGAAAAAAATTTTTTTTAATTCAAGCAGAGCTCCATACCACAGTTTTCCTTCAAGTCAGTGGGTCGGCAGGCACAGTTTCCCGACCACCAGGAACAGAAACTTTGGTTCCAAGGCAAATGAGAGGAAGGAAAAAAAAGTATTTCCACTTACAACATGAAAATACAGAAACTTCATCAACAAAGAAAGAAAACTATCAAAGACGTCTACTTCCAGCAAAACTGAGGTAGCACTGCTTTCTCTGCATTCGATGCTTAAGTGGTTCTCAGTACAATATATACTTTAAAAAAATGCTCACTTGACTGACAGGTGCAGCATGTTGACAGATAAACTCAACATGAAATGCAATAGGTCAAAGAAGGAATGAGCAAGAAGTGAGGGAAATAAGGGTTTTGGATAAATTAGCTTAAAAAGGGGCTGTCACCAGACTACACATGCTCTTGGCTGGCCTTGGCTCTCCAAGAGCTCTAAATCGCCTGGGAATTAATGCAATGTGGTTAACAGTTAACACTGCTATTCAAATCTGTGTAAATCTTCAAAAATAATCATTACAACCTAAATTCAACCATGTAAACAGCACTACACACAGTACAGACCTGCCCTGAAAAACAATATGCAAAACTGAGATCTGGCACTGTATCATTTTGTAATGTTAATTCAACCTAACAGTCCCATCCCCCCACTCACACACACACACACACACACACACAAATCTAAGTTGTGCAAGAAATGACAGGTTTATTCTATCTGAAGTCTTCAAAAAAAGATACACAACATGTAGCCATGTTCAAATATTTTGGGGGAATTTACCCCCCAAAAAAAGAAATAACCAAAAAATGAAGAAAGTGCCTAAAACATGATACAGCATTTTAGAGCCCTTTCAGATACAAGGCAGAGAAAGGTGTAAAGTAGAAAATATCCGGATCTTCAGTAATTTCCAGAAAGGTCCGATTCCTTGGTTGGCTGCAGGGCAGCGGGCAGATCCATGCTGCTGCTCCTGGGACAGAGTCACTAAGTCTGCTCCTCGGGACACAAGCCCTCGGGCCCTGAGCTGAGTGCACCTCTCCCTTCCCCTTCTCTTTTCCTTCGCTCCATTTCCCACTCCACAAAGGTATCGAAGAGACTTGGCCAGGCCTCATCTTCACTGTAGTTGCTGAGGTCGGGGCCAATCACCTGAGTGAAGTTAAGGAACATGTTCCAAGTGTCCCGGGAGATGCCCTTGATCCCCGAGGGGTTCTCTGTTAGGAAGTTTAGCCATTGGTCCAATACTGGAGGATTGTTCTGGGTAAAGACTAGTTTCCACAGGGCAATGGCTATTTCCCGATGCAGTGATCGCTGCCCTTCTTCAGAGTCCAAGCCAAACTGAAATGTAAACCGGTAGAGATCCTTGAATTTATCCTCTTGTTTGGCTTCTGTTAAGAGGCTAGGGAACCGTGCACAGATTCCATCAATGCTATCTGCACTTATTGCTCTGCAGCCATCAAAAAACTCCTTCCTGCAACAGGAAGAAAAAAGTACAATTAATAATAAAATATATAATTTACTGAGAGGCAATATTAGTGATTAAGAGAGGACTTTGAGGCTGGATGGTCTGAATTTGAATTCCAACTCCTCCACTAATTAGTCCTATTTCCTCAGCTGTCGAATGGTAGAATACCTACTTACTTCATAGTGTTTTGGTGAGGACTAAACAAGTTAGTAAACTAACTGCTTCTAACAGTGCCTGGCACATGGTAGGCAGCTGATAATGACTGATTTATTAATTCATTCATCTTCTCCAAGCTAAACTCAAGTCTCCTGCGTCCTGCCCTATTTCCCACTCTGCAATAGTGATTAAGCTGCAGATTCTTTCTCCTTCCAGAGGGGGAGGCTTCCTGATTCCTTTCTGATTCTCTGTGGGTTGTTTGTTTTGGTGACTGCCAAGGGAGACTTCTGGAGCCAAAGATTCCAGATGAACCTGGGTAACTCTGCCACCAGAGGCCAAACAAAAACTGGACCATGTTTTCTTCAGACGCCTGACCCCTACCCCTTTCTCTCCCTTGAGAAGTCAATCTACTCTTTCCTGATGTATTCTCTAAAATATCTTTCCTAACAACAACAAAAAAAAAACCTCTGTATTTTTAACATCTGGACAACACTTTGAGCTTACATCACGGTCCTCACATTGATCGTCTTTTCCGACTGCTGTACCTGCTGAAGAGGTAAGGCATCTGAGGTCTCACAGGTAACCTACCCGGGGCAGGGAGCATGTAAACTAGAATATACTTGTATGGCTCAAAGTCTGTCATTCATAACCCTGTACTCTGCAAACCACAATCTATAGGGATGCATGACCGTGACGATATGCACAACTACTGCTTGATAACCAGGGTCAGCTATCCTTGCTACACACAGGCCTGGCTGAGGGGAGGCAATATGCTAAGAAACAGAAAGGGCAACTGGCTCCCTGGAGGGACAGAGGCATATCCCAGAGGCACTTAATGTGTTGGCACTCACAGTGCCTGGCATATGACAGGTATACAATACATATCAAGTGAGTGCGTGAACTGACGTGGAGTGAAAGAAAAGTCGACAGCAGCATCGGGGGTGAGCAGCAGCGTGGCAGTAGAGCTCACCCTGGATTATTCCTCATTTAAGGAAAAGATGATTGGTATCCAGTTACTCAGAAGCTGCCTAGTAATGATAGGATATGCCTGCAATTTGACCTATAAAATAGGCAAAGGCATGTTATTCTGCAAAGAGAAACGTGGGGTACATATTAGAACCAGATATGAAGCCTTATCAAAATGCAAATGCCTGAGCCTCACCCTGGTCCTACTTAGTAGGTCTGCCGTAGAACCAGGTATACATATTTTAAACCCTTAGGAGGGTCTCAGGAGGCTTCACTGGATCAGAACCACAACTTAGCTCAGAACATTTAATCTTTAGAGAAATTGGTCAGAAAAACATACCCCAAACCCTGTGAAACCAACCCAATTCTATCCTAGCTGGATACCATCACCCAATGGTGCTCTCTTTCCTCCTCTGCTCACCTGGTGACATGAAGTATTTGTGACTAACCTGGTGAATTTGCACATGGTTGCAGCCTGGAACTTCCAAGCCAAGAGCAGCACTCGAAATTCTGTGGGGTCAACACATAGGTCATTGCAAAAGCGCTCCATGCCTTCCTCCAAAATTGCATCCTCCCGCTCATCCTTGTAGCGCCTGAACAGTTCTTCCAACCTCTGCAAGGAAGACTCCTCAGCATTGGACTTGGACTCCCTCCCAGCATCTCCTGAGGAGGTTGGCAGTTGGCAGGCCTCAGTGGCAGCCTCCGCCTTCTTGGTCCCATTGACGAGGATATCCCCACCTGGCTTGCCACAGGGTGGCACCTGCTCCTCGCGGTGGCCTGCACTCCGCCTGCTGTGTGACTTGCTGCTGGGGTCACGGTCTCCATTCTTGCTGCCCAGAGTTGATGAGGGATTCTTACACTTGGTGACACACTGGCCCATGGTGCTGGTGGCCTGGCCTCTAGAGTGGCCCCCTCTGAATCAGATGCCCTCGCTGTTGCTGGCCCATGTACCTCAACATGCCATCAGCTAAAGGAGTCAGCCAACCTGGAAAGAAATCAGAAAGCAGTAGTCACCTCTGGACAGGGACAAGGGGATATGGACACTACCCTCCAGGGACTCTAGTTCAATGAACCAACAATGAACCATGGGAGAGCCCAGTTTATCATCATCTCCCTTGTAAGCCAGCTCTGTAACTTCACCTTAGAAATGCAGTGGCTAGGGCACATATGGAAAACCAATAAGGAAATTCCTAAAATTCTTAAGGCAACACAGGTTACAAAGAGACTGATTCATATGTAGAACACATCAAAGACTAGAGCTTTGACAGAAATATTCCAGAGGAAATTTGTCTTGCCAACTTGCCATCACATAAAAGTTATTTGGACCTGGGTTAAACCAGAATGCAGAAAGAAAAGTTGCATCTTCTAGTTCCTAAGGTCAACATTATCTCAGATTTTAAGTAGGATGAGTAAGTAGAGAGAAGAGGTGGCCATATCCAAGACAACCATATAGTCTCATAATGGCCTAACAGTTAGGTAAGGGAGTTTACAGCATCAATACTACAAGCAGGGCCTTGCCAGCAGCAAAGGGACATTTGTCTGTGACCTCTCCAGATTCTTTTCGGCCTATCCCACACAGTAGGTGAAACAGCCCTTCTCTGTCCTACTTCATCCACCTGTAGAAGCCATCCACCAAGCTTGTACTTCAAACCAAGTGTCCCAATTGAAGAGTTTCTTTTTCTCCCCTCCTTCAGGTCCTTTGCAAGGCTGTACTTAGAATGCAAGCCAAGTTCACATTAAATGTGATTGTCCTATAGGACCTATAGGCTCAGTCTTCCAAAGGGGTATGTCTATACTTTAAAAGGAGGGTTGATTTGCCCAAATACAATTTCTAAATGGTAGGATAATTGCTGGATGAAAAATAAGAGTCTACATTAGCCGGGCATGGTGACTCATGCCTATAATCCCAGTACTTAGAGAGCCTGAGGTAGAAGGATTGCTTGAGCCCAGGAGTTCAAGACCTGCCTGGGCAACATAGCAGGACCATGTCTACAAAAAAATCAAAAAATAAATCAGGCATGATGGTGTGTCTGTAGTCCCAACTATCCAGGCGGCTGAGGCAGAAGGATCACCTAATCTCAGGAGAATGGGGCTGCAGTGAGCTGTGACCACGCCAGTGCCCTCTAGCAGCCTATGTAACAAAGAGAGATGCTGACTCAAAAAAGACCAGTGCTATGAGCTGTTGCTCACACTCGTAATCCCAGCACTTTGGAAGGCCAAGGTGAGAAGACTGACTGAGCCCAGGAGTTCAAGACCAGCCTGGGCAACATAGTGAGACCTTAAAAAAAAAAAGTCTACATTTGTACATAACAAAGTCATCACGGTGCTTTATTACTTATGTAATTTAAAAGTCTCTGTGTATGTATAAATCGCTAGACATTTCTGAGCCAGAAGTGAGGTCCTTTCCTAAGACTACTCTCTGTCTATTCAGGACTTTTTTTTTTTTTTTTTGAGTCAGGGTCTCACTCTGTCGCCCAGGCTGGAGGACAGTGCTCACTGCAGCCTCAAACTCCTGGGCTCAAGTGATCCTTCCACTTAAGCCTCCTGAGTAGCTGGGACTACAGGCATGAGCCACCACGCCTGGCTAATTTTTTTTTTTAAGAGATGAAGTCTCTCTATGCTCTTGGGTTCAAGCAATCCTCTCACCTCAGTCTCCCAAAGTGCTGGGATTACAGGCATAAATTACCACCACACCTGGCCAGAATTCTTATTCATATGTTCAACAAGTGTGCTAGAAAATCCAAATACAATTTAGAACTTGTAAAATTTTGCCAACTGCTATAATGATGGCAGTCACTGAAATTACATTGTTAATGGAAATGTAGACCAGGAGCCAGAAGTGTAGTAGGGAAACAAACCAGATGAAAATCAATGACAGTTCCATATGGAAATCCCCAGTTCTAGGGAGCTTTCATAGACCTTCATGATCCAAACTCAAAGCTTTTAGAAGACTGGGAGTGGGGGCAAAAGGGTGGTTTCAATCAAAGGCTGGAACTTTAAACTCTGTCTGAAAACTTAGCTTTCTCCAAATAGTGCCTGAATAAGTTTGGGGGTTATCTTCAAGAGGATTTCCCTCTAAGGGTACACTCTGGGTACAAAATGAGTTTAAAATGAAGAGCAGAATCATTCCTGTCGTTATTGGAGATTAATCATACTAGGGGCTGTCCCATTCTTCACCCTCAAAGATAATAAATGACAAAAAGACATGTCCAGACATGCCCTCAAAAGACTTGAAGTTTTACTTAGACTTCAGAAATACACCGAAACCCTTATAATGGCTTTTGGTGTGAAAAATGAATCTGAGTACATTTTTTTTTCCTTTTAAGTCTTTTTGTGCTTTAAGACTGACTATAGCTAGTAAGCCAGAAGTACAACCTATTAAAATTTCAAAAGGCAAGGGGTTAATTCTTGGAAGACCATCACACAAGGGAAGCAACTGTTCAAGCTGAATTATCTCAAAACAAGAAGGACTATACCATGTGGAAGGTCTGGTTTCCAGATTTGTGTTTCTAAAGACTAGAATGCTGAAAGAAACAAAAGGCCCAAACTTACACAAACCCCACATGCTCACAGACTGGCAACTCTAATTCCCCGGCATGCTGACTCACCAGGGTTTGCTGCTCAGCTTCTGCTGCTGAGGGAGGCGCGGGCACCAAGTGAGATAAGAGGATTTCCTGGCCTCCATCTGACCCACCTACCCCAGGCCACTCACTCCGCCCTCATTGGACAGATGCTTCATTATAGCAGCTTCCTCCAAATCCTGGCACCAAGGCCTTCAGGTAGGGACAGAACAGATGGGCCTCCCAAAGAGGCCCTAATCCCATCTACCCAACCAGCCCTCCATGTAAAGGCATCTTTTGATGACCTGACACAGCAGAACCAGCTGAAACCTGAGGCTTTTAACATGCCCTGCAATGAAAAAAGGGAGAAAATCAATTTTGACAGATGACCAATCAGCGAGTTCCAGAAGGTCAGATCCTTCTTCCATTCTGAGCCCTTTCTTTGAAATGCCCCTATTCCAGTAGAGTGCTGAGGCGAGTGGTGGTCTCAAGTCAGAAGAAAGTACTTTCAGATCTGGTGAGTAAAGCTCCTCAATGACTCTGAGTACTGCCCAAAAGTCTACTTCGTCTGTGTCTACCCGCTTCCCTGGGAAAATACTTTTGCTCCCAGAGCTTCCCCAGACTCAATCACAGTGCTGTGTCCTGTGTCCCAGGCTGGCAGCACTCCAAATGTTTTAAAGTTGAAGGTGTCCCCTAGACTCACTAGCTGTTGGCTAATAGCTAATAATAGCACCCATCAATTACTGAGCATTTGATAGGATGCCAGGTACTATACTAAGCACTTTTAGGGATATGAACTCACATATACTCATCACAGCCCCATTTAAAAACAAGGAAACTGAGGCTCAGTAAATTTTTCAAGGTACACGTCTGGCTCAAGTAACCACAATGTTTACCACTAGGCTAGATTGCTGAGCCCACCTCCAGCAAAGCACCCAGAGAAAATACACGGCCCTGAGTTCATGAGTGACACCAGAGCAACCCAAGAGCAGTAGATCTAACCATCAGCCAATGAAGAGAACAACACCCAGCCTGTGCTCAGTGCTCAAGAAGGATGTCCTACCCTCTGCCTTCTCCCAGGTCCGCCCTGCTGCTGTAATCCAGGCAGAAAGGATGTCCTTGGGCTCATCCCCACCAGAGGTAGGGACTAGAATTAGTCCAGATGCCCCAAACCTGAGATGTTTTAGTTCACCAGCATGGTTAAAAGCTCCAGTTCTGAAACTGACGGCCAGCACTGTCAATGACTGATTGTCTGACCATGATGTAAACCTGAATTTCCTCAACCTGCAAAATGGTATCTGCCTTATAGATATGTAGATAAAAGGTACCTGGCACACATTGCTCACCCACCAAAGAAAACGCTTGATATATCAGCTACTGTTGTTTCTTTAGTAGCAGTAGCTGAATAGTAAGTATATGGTCAGCCTGTTGGAAGCCCCAACTTGTCCCATCTGAAAAATGGGCTCCAGGCCCCAGTTTCTTCAGGTCCAGCAAGACCTGAGGATCAGATACTACACAGCATAGGAATTCCTTGACTGATCCTGAATAAAATCAAGTTGAGTATTTGCTTGTACAGAGGACACTTTGAATTGCTAGTCATGCTCTGTCCTTAACCTGGAGCAGGCTTTTAGCCAGTTCCAAATTCCTCCTCCTTCTCCTTTCCACTTGGTCTCAGTTCTGCATGTCTGCAAAAGACAAGGTTTGTAGCTTTCAACTCTGTTCCACTAATGAAATAGAACTGCCTTTCCATCTGGCCCTCCTCCCTATCACTGCCGCCTCTGAAGTGGATAGCCTCAGCACAGTCTTGGCACCCAGCACCAAATTTTCAACAGTAACAGAGCATTATCCTTAATGAATATCACTTTGTATTTGTTAGTGCATTATGCCAGTTATATATAAATGTAGCTCTGTGGAGTAATTGCCTCCATTTTACAGGATAATAAATGGAGACATACCGAGATCAAGGAGTCCATTTAGGAAGGGACAAAACAGGAGCACAGTAATTAAGAGATTGAACTCATACAAACCAGGATTTGAATCATGACGATGGCCCAATAAAATGTAACTGTCAGCAATGTAACTTTAAAATGGGGCAGCTGTACCCCAATAAGCTATTGGCTAGAATAAATGAGATAATCTATGTAAATGTTCTGCTCAATACCTGGCTTGCAGAAAGCACTTAGTGTTAGCTTCTATAACAGTTATTATTATCATCACAGAGCTGGTGAGAGTCAAGCCTCCCTTCTCCTAGAACAGTGTTCTTTCAGGAGCCAGCCCAGACCTCTGTGGTGATTCAGGGCTACTAGGAGCCCTGCTCTCAAAGTAGTGACTGCTCTTCTACTTCAGCTAAGGGGCACCAATGGGTCCGATGGAGCCAAGGACAAGGAGGGGTAGGGAGAAAGGAAAGGTAGGAAAAAGAATTTGT